TTAAGTAATGCCCCGAGTAAGAACTAGGGAAGCAAACGGCACAGGAATGCAAGAAGGTGCTAATTGCGCATTGTATAATCCATCCATCCCATTGGTTAAAACATGAAAATCTGCTATAATTTCACAAGTTAGCGAATTTTCTAATATTTTATTTAATGTCTGTTTTCGCTTTCATGAAAGCTTTCTTTAGCTTCAATATTAAGGCAATTCTATGTGGGGAACATTGCAAATTAGAAGCATCTTTTGGCTATTGTTTTGAGTGCTTATGATTGGATAAGAGCTTTTAATACAAAAGAAACTTTGTTTCAAAATAGAGTTTATCCACATTTTATTTCAAAAATGTGTTACCCACAGGTTAATACATAATCAGTGTGAAAACCAAGACATTCGTACATGGGGAACTTGCTATGCCGCAGAACAATAGAGAGTTCCCTAGTTCTTTAGCGCATTGTTACTTAATTAAGTATCAGAAGCCCATGACATACTGTTTTAAGCATATTAGGCTGTTACATATTGCTAATTTGTTTATCTCATATTCTATTAAATGTGAATAGAGTGAAGAATATTAACCTCTGATGAAAAATCTAATAATCCAGGTGCAATAACCAAATCAAMATGAGATATCAACAAAAATGTAATTAGAGACTACTATTTTTTAACTCGAGGGTTAATCAGTTTTCATGCAGCCAGAATTTGTTTCTCTCTCTAGAAAGAATACTTCTTGCAGGCAAAGTTTAAGGGAAATAGTCTAACAGAGTGGGGACGCTAAAACTGCAAAACTAGTTTAGATGTAAATTGAACAACAAAGAAATAAATAGAAAACATAACAATGGAATGAGCAACTTCAAGGTTTCATGAAGTACTTTCAAAAAATCTATCATGAAACAGACATTTTTGGCAAAGACCATAGGAAAAGTTAGAACTACATTGTATGCAAGAATGAACAGCCTGCTTAACTGCTATAAGCAGTTCCTAATGCACTCTTATTCCATTCCTTTCTTTTCATAAAAGACGTGAAGATATACGTGTAGYCTTTTTCATTTGGCAATAGCACTGTATATCGGCAAAAAACGAATTGGAAGTGAAAACATTATATATGAATTCTCTTAATAGATGTTTTTAATATATATAATGGAGATATTGTGAGCATTCTAATTGGCTGAGACCTGCAAAAAAGTGCCGGCTGGTACWGGGCTTAGWCTCCTTGGCAGCCTAACCTTTTGTGTGGCTTCCTCTGAAAAAGCCTGAAAAAGGGTAGTCTTCAAATAGTTGTCATGTACAAAGTGTTAATCTTTCTCGTTCTCTCAAATATAAAATTTGGGCTTTCTTTTCAAAGATTGAGAGCATTAATAGTGATAATGAAAAATACAAGCTTCCTGTAACAGGACACTAAAACAATGAGAGAAGCTAGTGTTTTAATGGAAATTCAAAGCAATTAATGCACACTTATAGTGTACGTGACATGTTCCAATTCTCTTTATTAATTTTTTGCACCCTTGATGAACGCAAAATGAATTCAAAGAGAAGAGGACAGGAGCATTTTTCACATTATTAAGCTTAAAACTAGGATTTATCTTGTATTTTGTGGTTGTACAACTGTCTTTTTTATTTGAATTTGTAATAAACTATTCAGATTGAGAGATCTATCCAATTATAGAGTCATTATCATGTTGGGCGGCCATGTGCAAAGGACCAGTCCTGACAGTAAGCCATACAGGATGCCAGCTCTGGCGTAGCGGTTGCACTGGCGCTCCTCATGGGGATGTTGAGTTAAAATGCTATCATCTAAATTTTACTAAAGTTTACTTTTGCTTCATTGTTCGTTTTTCATATTGTTTCAYTTTCTAATGTTGTTACCTCACTGGCAAGCTGAAAACCAGATGCTAAAACTTTTGTATTTTGCTCTTTTTGGCTTTTGTTTACTCGGTGAAGTTCGTCTGCACCGCGAATGGTGTGTCAATCCACATTTCAACCTTTCCAGTTTTAAAACTATCTCCTGAATACTGGATACTGATTATCTATTTGTTCTGCGCTTAAACTCCTCCAGCTCCGCAAGGTAGGACAACGGCGGCCATCTGTGATTTTCCAAGTATGCTCTGACTTGTGGTTTCAGCAGAGCAAGGTCTTCGAGTTTTTCRAAGTTRGCGTAGTAGATAGTGATGATGTAACAACACCATTTGTATAGCTGCGTTGCATTGTGGTACTGAAAAAGAAAAGGACAGATATTTAATCTAAATCTCATGTAAGTAATGAGTCTGTTTAACAATCAACGACTTGATATCGATCAACCACTTGATATTGATCAAATCTTTGGAAACCCAGGGGCTGTGTATCTGCGGGGAGATTTGACCGGAAGGAGTAAGAGGGAAACGAGTAGAGGATTTTTGCCCTTGAATTTTTTCGCTTGTCCTCAGTCTCTCCAAGTCACTTGTGTTTCCGAGAATGCATCAATTTTCCTATGAATAAGCCAATARACTTCTGAACCTTTTTAAAAGTCACTACTAGATTTTCAATTCATTGTTTAAACATAGTTAATAGAGGGGTTATGGTTTAAAGAGAAAAAGAAATATGCATTGCATATGTAAAAGCTTCAAGTCTATCAATCAATAGATCAATTCATCAATCACCCAATCAATAGCTCACTACTAACCTCAGCAAATAGTAAGGTATGAAGAATAATTCGACAAGTGTCTGTGCTCAAATTGAGTTTCTTTCTTATTTCTTTCTTCACTTGGTTTGAAATGTACAGCTCACAGACAGCGCGTAGTCGAGGAAGGCAAAACCTGTCACTCAGYACAAGAAGCTGCCTATAGTCACTTGACGGTCTCTCAGCAAGCGCATCTGTGTATAAGTATTCTAAAAGATCAAGGAAACCATCTTCGGTGGTCTCTGCGATAGGAATCTGAAAAAAACCCGAAAGAAATAAAGGAGGGATTTATGGCTGGGAAAGTCTCCTTCTTATGTCAATATACTAGCTTACTAGCTTATCATTATACAGCCTTTTGCAAAAATTATGAGAATTGTCTAAATATCTAAATATCATAATATCCATATCCATTGTCCGGAATACGCGGGTTTGCTAGAATAATTCATTGTTGACATCGAGAAAATGTTCACAACTACGGATAAGTCTGTCGCCCAAAAAAAAAACTAAACTACAAAGACAAGGGACTAAGGGCATCGCGCGGGATTACCCATCATGCACTCGATATTATGATATTTAGATATTTCAACAATTCTCATAATTTTTGCAAAAGGCTATATTGATAATAATTGATAATATACTTATTTATCTTTCTGCCGCTCATTTATGATTTCCTAGGATTTCGTTCCGATATTTAAGAAAACAGGGTTTCTTATCAAGGTAATCAATTACAATCGGCTGGGACACAGTGATCAATGCAAAAACAACTTTAAGGCCGGAAATTTAGGCTTTTTTTTGTGGCCAAAGCAGAAGACGCGTTTAATTAATTCTTGATAGTTATCATGTGGTGATGCAACCAATATTTTACTAAAACTGACAATTATAAGCGAACAACGCAGCTGTTCTTTTCTTGATCGCTAAATTAGCATACCCAACACTTGTCGCAAAACTCACATAGGTTATAGAATAATTATCTCAAAACTGACCGGTTCTTTTGCTGTGCTTCCCTCTTTGAACGCACCGCCTAACATGGCGGCCATGACGTCACATCTTGCCATGACGATAGCTTTATGGGCAAAAACATGTCTCCCTTCGACAGAAAACGTCACATCAGATAGTGTCGGCTTATTAACAAACAGATCTCGCACCGTTTGTCGTCTGTGTTCATTAGCAAGCCTGCATATCTTGCTGTTGAGATAGTCTTCTTTATTAAGGACGTTTGTGCAACACTCTATGAGTTCCGACAGTTGCGATGCTCGCGCCATTTTGGAAACTTCCTTTAATACTTCCTGATTGGACTTTTGATCAAATGCAAATTCCAACGTGTATATAAATTCTAGAAAACGTTTAAATGCTTCAAAACGAACAGTCTTTTGGTCCTCCTCGTTAGATAAATGAGGAATTAAGAGACCTTTTAGCTCCGTTTCTGTTGCTGTTTTGTTTAACAGCAGATTTCGAAACCACTCCCCTGCCATACATAAGACGATGCGATGCACTGGGATGCTACACTGATCGAAGTTGATGGTGAAATCCGAACAATCCGCGGAATTGTGTACTAGTAGCTTTCTCATGTTTGATGAATATGTGGAGGCTGGAATTGATATCACAATTTCTTCGGGAACTAAAAAAATAAAAGGTTTAAGTGACTTAAATTATGTATGTATAGTAGTGTTTTATCGAGCGATAAAGACCTGAATCCAGTAAAGAATTGAACTGTTTTGTTTTATAATTGTGAAACCAGAATCCGCAGCTGATAGAGAATAAGGATGGCTGTCATGCTGGATGAGTGATTCAACAGCGATATGCTATCTCCATCACACAGGGCGGTCCTGTGACGTGTAAAGCACAACTCCTTTAGCTTGCGTTTTTCTGATAAACTTGGGAATAATAATATTCATTAACATCTACCAAATAAATACAGCATTCTGAATGATTGGCTATTGAACTATTGTTAGACCTTGATCTTGTGGACTACTTTTTCAGTTAGCCTCGTGTACTGTCAACTCGCAGTCCACATCACTGATGGTTGAATTGTTAATTTTCTGACTCCTTTTTTCTGTTTTTCTAGTATAGTCGTTCTAGCTCAGAAAGTATTTCATGTCAGGCTCTGCTTTTTTCAAGACTGAACGTTAATTGAAAACGCCAAAATTCAATTAAGTTTTCACATTGAATTCTAGACGAAGAACGAAGATAAATACAAATTATTCGTTGAATGCACCAGTGTGGACCGGGACTCGGCTGAACAGGTGTTTGCTTTTCAATGCGGAAAACCTTCATAGAGTGGCTGTATTTTTTCTCATAATTACTTAACTACATGCATGATAATGAATATAAAAGAAATTTGTGTATCATATACTTACCTTGTCGGGGCAAGGAGGGAGGTTCATACAATTTAGAAAAGACTTTATCAGGATTGTCGTTAAACTTGGCGAATTTTCGCTTTGGCTTGTTTTCGACACTGTTCGGTCTTGATAGTGCTATTCGTAAAGCGGTATCAATCACTTCCTTTAGTCCTTCACAAGTTACAGCACTCATTTCCAGATATTCTGCATCAAGACGTTTTGCAAGTTCGAGCCCCTTAGCACAGCTTACTAGTGTCTGAAGGGAGTCACTTAAATAGATAAAACATTAACTGTTTCAGATGTTGTATTTGAAACGTKCAAAGTGAAGATCTGAAGCGCAGGAAAATGAAATAAAATAACAGAAATCATTTATTGCATATTCAGTGAAACATTCAGTAACAGGGCTGAAAAAACTTGAAAATTCTTCATATTTTTGTCAGAATCAGGAGAAGAGGAGCGAGTGAACCGCATCGCTAGTTCTTCCAAATTTCACCGATATCGCGACCAAACAACAAGTCTACAAAATAGACTTTATATTTTTAATCAACAAAAATTGCGGACCAAGTTTGAATGTATAAATTCATTACTAGGTTTTTTTGTTTAATTGCATGCCAATTTAAAAGGACAGAGAGATCAGAGCTGTTCGATTTGACATTATAAAATCAGATGTACCATAATTTACATTTAGTTGGGTTCTAACTCATTTATATGTCGAAACATGGCCGTTTTTTTGTTTTAATTCAAACCCCGGCTGTTTCTCATGCTATCATTAATGTTTTGTATCTCTATCCAAAAGATAAGGCGGATACAGTGCAAGACAACATGAGTTTTTAATATCAGTAATGTTTCATTAGTTTTTGTACGTTTTCCTATTATTGTTCTGCAATTKTCAGTTAAAAACATCAAATGCGCAATCAATTACCTGGAACGTAAATCCGCCTTGTTTCCAACCACAACAAGCGGTGTACCAGGAACATAATACCTCATTTCAGGAACCCACACTGTTGAGATRTTTTGGAATGACTTAGGATTGGAGATGTCAAAACAGGCGATGAAAACATCAGTGTCTTCGTACTCCAAAGGCTTGAGTTTGACAACGTCCATGTCATTGAAAGATCTCATGGTACAGGTATCCCAGAAAGTTACAATGTAAGCTTCACTGTTCACTGTCGTGTTGACGAAGAATGACTCCAATACGGGAGGCAGAGTCGAGCTATTTCCGCGTTGTTTCTGACCAGGTTCGTCTTGTGGAGGATAGTTTTGATGATACCATCGAGATAACAAAGATGTTTTGCCCACAGTCGAGTCGCCAATCACTTTAACCTTCAAATATCTCATATCCCATTCGATTCTCAATGACTGTCATTAGAAATCGAGTCTTGATCGAAAGAAAATACTGTGGACGCAAACAACTCAATGTTTTGAAATATTTCAAAGGGCGAAGCACGAATTATTTTCAACGACAGGAGAGCAAATACGCCACTGAGCATGAATACGACAGACCCCTTTATTAGGTCGCCAGGTGGAGGTGATTGCAAACTTTCCGATTCTATTGTTGTTTTGAATTCCCAACTCAAGCGTGTTTTCGAGTAGTCAAGAACCGCAAATTGATCCCCTTGTAAGGAAAACAAGTGTGCATTTGAGCATTTATAGTGTTCGGTCACTGAAACTTTGAAGCAGCGCGCATGCTGATTGCCTTTACCAATGGCAGGCAATATTAATTAATGATCGATGCTGGATATCGTCCAAGATTTGCATTCATGTGCATGCTAAATAAAGCGACGTAGTCGTAGAGATTGCGACAAAGCGCTGCTCTAAAAGTTGACTGCTTCAATTCACACAGACAAAAATAAAACTTGACTGATAAACTTTTTCGTTTTTGATAGACGAATGTCAATACCCCAATCATGCACGTGTTCCATCCTTCGCCAATTTTTTTTATTTCGAAACCAAGAAATTAGGACCAGGGAGTGTGGTAACAATCTCAAAAAGACAGGACATCCCTCCCGCGCTGACAACCAGATTATTACTGATCAAGATCTTATAAAACTATATCATCGAGTAATGACTCCTTTTTCCTTTATTTCGCCATCGAGATTGATATCCTCATCATGAATTCATTTTCATTATCTTTNAGTGTCAGCGCTCTGAGCAAAAAAAAGAAGTCGAGAAGATTTTGGTTTCAAGGAATAAGCTTTTTCTCAAACAATAAACCAGACGAGCCACAGCCGCCTGTTATGCCTCCTGCAGGTATCTATATAAATACTCCCTTACAATTMAAGCAGGAATGTTAGTGGTTTGTATTATGAACGACAGAACAAGAGCATCCAGGAGTATTTCCTGAATGTTAATTTTATGAGGTCAGCACATGAAATTAACTTTGCACGAAGGAACCAAAGCTTCTTCATCTGATGCTCCCAAAACAGTAATTGKAATAGTAGGGATCACKTTTGCACCCTTTTTCCTAGCTTCACTGATATATTTCTCAAKTAATGTTCTGTTTAATGCCAGGTTTAGCTCCCTGGATAAACGTGACGACTTCTACGTTTGCTGAAGACTGGAAACGCCTACTTACAGATGACTTAGTCGAGCCTGATGTTAAATTTATCTCTGGAAATAACACTATCTTTGGCCATCAAGTTATCCTTGCAGCATCTTCAGTGATTTTTAAAGAAATCTTTCTGACACCAAAAAAGATGAATAAAGTTCCTAAAAAATACAGCAGTATATTTGAAGAAATAAAATGGATCAACGGAGATCTGCGGTCAAACAATTATACAAACAATTTAAATATAGAAGTCTCTAATGATAGTCATAGCAGAGAGAGTGCGGAAATTACTCTGAACTCGAGTATCGACTTTGAAGTTTTCAATAAAATCCTTCGATTCTTTTACACTGGTCTACCAGGATTTGCTGAAGTTGAAGTTGAAGACTTCGTTCGCGATGTGAAGGAGACATCMAAGTTGTTTCATCTGCCGTGGCTTACACAAGTCTGTGAAAACCGCCTCAAAGATGAACAGTTTCTTAATCCAAGCATTGGGACATGGCTGAATGACGAAACAGGGTCCGTTATGAAGAATTTGTTTTTAAACAAATCAAATTTAAGTGATGTGCAGTTTATCGTTGAAGGGAAGACTGTGTACGCTCACAAAGCAGTGTTGATGGCAAGGTGCGATGTTATGGCGGCCATGTTAGGAGGAAGTTTCATAGAGAGTAAAAACGCTTCAACGGTATGTTACAACACTTTCTGG